GACATCTAAAATGTAATCATAATATCTAAAATTATATGGAGTTTAATAATGTCTGGACTTACATATATAAAATATATCTATATAATAGGAGCTTGTCCTATTAAGGACTAGCAGATCTAATAGTAAAGTTTAATACGATCTTTGACCAACACAAATAAAAATCTACCTATGGACCTTGTTTAAGCTAATAGCTATCAGATAACAATAATGAAATATTAATAAAAAATTTGTCACACTTTTGAAACCATTCTGAAGGTATCTGTTAATGCAAACTAAAATACTAGTTGACCATAATCCATTACTGCAAAACCTTTCCACTGGCTTCCTATCTGATGTTGACGGATCTTTATTGCCACTGCGTAGAACCTGGTCACGTAAGAAGCATTTGAAGGTAATCTGATTCTTGACAGCCAGGCTGCTTGCTGATCAAGGGAGCGAGCAATATACTCCATGGGACTTGATAAAAGATGCAGCGGAGGAGAACACGGCCCATGTCTTCTACTTCCTTGGCATCACAAGGACAAAGTCTTGCCGCTAATGGAATTTTTTTATATTTGCGATAAATTATATTGACTATTTTTATTAACAGTCCCTGAAGAATAAATTTAAACTTTATTCAGGTTTATGTCTATATGCTGCTTTGTGATTAACCTCAGAAATCTTGCATTATTAGAAATATGATAAGCTGGCCTTGTGGGCTGTAAAAATTAATGTTAAATCAATTACAGTCAAGTCTTCTCTGATATAGGATTTACTCTTAAAAAATAGATTTAACTGGAATTTGAGATAGAAACTGAATGAAGGTGTACTGTAAGTATAGCAACATTAAATTTGTTAATGACCTATCAAGTTTGAAGGCTTAAGCCATCATTCTTAGATGCCTATGCACAGAGGTTCATATGATTTAGAAATACATTGGGGACCCTTCCAACCCTTCTGTCCATATATTGGTGACAATTGCAAGAGCAAAGTAATTCATCCGATCACCATAACTGATGCAAAATATGTGGATGATGTGAAGTCAAGGTTTTGTAAAAATATTTGATATTTCCTGAGAAAAAGCACTTTATCTTGATACATGTCAAGACTTAACAGGCCTAACAGGGAAATCTACTATTTGCAAGGGGTCGCTGGGAATTATTCAGCACTCCACAACCTGGAACAACCTGGTATCTTTAACACATGCTACATCACCTGTTTTGTTGCCTGGGACCACACTGGGGAAAGCAGCTCTAGCTATTGTCTTTTCTATAGCATCTAAGTATTTTAAGATTCATTTCCTAGAGAGACCTTGTATAGAAATACATTATCCAATATGTCTTATGTTGCCAAGATTCATCTTATCTAAGATGTATACTGCTACTGCCTTCTCCAAGAAAAAACTGGAGAAAGGGAGACAGCTGCTTAAAAGAATATGGGGGAAAGTAACTTGGAAGAGATAAATAGGAATAAAGAGAATGGCATAAATGGAGAAAGAGGCTTTAGGCTGAGCTCACCAGAAAGAAAACAAGGAAGTATGTCTGGCAAGATACAAATGGAAATGCTTTCCCACCTAGCCCAAACACACTTATAAAGAATGTCTTGCATTTTTATACAGGAATATATACATACATTGGTGATTTCCAGTCAGTCTCAAAAGAATCAGATATAATAATTCTGTTATAACAGTTGCCAACTAAAATTGAGCATACATTATAAACAAGTGATGTACTTTTAACACTATTTTCCATAAGTATACTTTATATTTCTCCGTTCTTTCTCTCTCTTTCTCTCTCCCTCCCTCTTTAAAATCACTTAATAATAGTTTTTATAAAGAAGCTGTGGTGACAATTTTATCTGTATGGCTCTTTGTTATCTTCCATAAAGTGGATTAAACGCTTCAGGTCTATTTCTTAGTCATCGGTTATGTTCTTTCATAATATACAGCTTCAAAGCAGTTTTAATTCATAGCATGATTTACACTTTTCCTGATGTCATTGTTCTGCATCAGATTTTAAGGAAATTGAGTACTCAGTAAAAAAATAAAATGAAATTAGTTTCCTCAAAAATCATTTTAAAAGCCTATGTGTTACCACAATAAAAGTAAACAGTTCTATTAAGTTCTAACAGGCGAGAACTGGCAAGGTCTGGCAAAGTCATTGTGATTATGGCTCATGGAAACTAATATGGATTAAATATTTCATTATTCATAAGAATCTTTGTGACAAAACACTACAGATACAGTATTATTATATATATTTAATAATTTGATTAACTGAGCAATAATTTACATGCTACAAGCAATCTTCAGAGAGATACAACCTGAGGATCCAAGGCTCCATTGAGCCCCTAAAACTTCCAAGTTATTACTATATTTTTAATGTGACATAAAATTATGAAGTATATGACTAGAGAGTAATCATACTAATCATACTAACTATATTTAATTTTAATTTATGTAAAGGAAGTGAAATTCATTTTTTGACCTAGGTCTATCTACCACTTTTGAAATGCCTTTCCCAACTGCCATTCAAGTCCAAGTATGGCCTCAATCCAGAAAATACTGCATTCTCCTGGCCTGCCTGATTTAACTACGTGGAGTCTTTTATCATGGTTGATCCCAACAGTCACACTGAATCCTAATTTGTGATTTCTGTGCTTAAATGCAGAAGGCTGGAAAAGATGCAAAATGAAAATAGCCATAATGGATTAAGAATCACTGATCTATGCTTATACTTTAGCTGTACAAATAAATGCAAAGCTGTTAATGCAAGCATGCCCTGTTAGGATTTTCCAATCCCTACCAAAAAATTATGTGAGGGGGGAGATAGGAAGAAGATGCCATTATCTCCATATGCAATTCATTTAATCACATGTAAAGCCATGTTAGAGAGCTTGACTTTAGAGGCATCAAACCTGCACAGATATTCATGAGAGAGATAAATGTCATCATAAACCTAAGACTCTGGTGAAGCTGGAAAGAGAATCTTAAAACCTATGTTCAGCGATATTCCTGAAATTACAACTGGCACAACTCCAAGTAAATATGTAAATTATTAAATTTCTTGGATAATCCTGGGGGGAAAACACCCAGTATAGAATTTGTCTGATTAGTGTATAGTTGCCGCAATGCAAATTAAGTTTACTCCTACAAACAGTGCTCAAAGGACTCTAAATGCACTCTATAGATTATATTTTTCACAAATATTTCAGCTCCTACTCATAGTAATATTCATTCATATATATGGACTTTAATATTCAATTTATTAATAGGCTTTATCTATGGAAACTCTATAAGATGGAGAAGAATATCCCTGTTGTTCAAGCTATAACAAAGTTGTACTGAGAAGAATACAATGGAGCACTATAAATCCTAGTGTTGTCTTTTAACACATTTTTTTTAGAATACATATAGACTTTTGGGTCAAAATCTACAGTATATTAAGGGGGAGTGAGGGGAGGGAGAGAATTACTTTAATTTTTTTATTTCTACACATATTTAAATTTTAACTTTCCTCATCAATCTATTATGATAAAATAAACCAGGGTTCTCAAAGTTTTCAAATAAGCATAATTTCTAAAAAATATCTATGCTTATGCATGCATTTAAAAGTACAGAGTTGCTGATAGGAAAAGATTGGACTTTTGACACAGATACCATTCCATATTTCTTATTTTAAATAACAGTTGAAAAAAAGTAATTTGTTTCTTGTTTTATATTTTAGATCTGCCAACTTGTCTTCTGTGTACCTGTCTGGGTACCTCAGTATACTGTGATGATCGTGAACTGGAAGTTCTCTCACCATTGCTCAAGCAAACCACCCATTTCTATGCCCGCTACAATAGAATAAAAAAGATAAACAGGGATGCTTTTGCCCACCTAGGTATGGTTTATTATGCTAATAACTTTCCTAAATTTTATTTTTTAACATATACTGGAATAGAAAGAATTTGATGAGACTGAATTATGAAGATAGGTGATATGGCATCTTTTAGGCTGCAAGTAACTGAAACATATTTAAGAGTGAGAATTAATGTTTTAGAACCATTTGTAGTAAATATATATATATAAGTAGCTTTTCCTCCACAGTGAGGGATATATAATCAGTCAGAAATTCTTTGTAAGAGTATTTTAAATGTTTCCTTGCTTTATTTTCTTGGCTAGACAACCTGAAAAGGATTGATTTGACTTCTAATTTTATCTCAGAAGTGGATGAAGATGCCTTCAGGAATTTACCACAACTTCAGGAGCTGATACTTAGAGATAATGAAATACAACAACTTCCAGAATTACCAACAACACTTAAATTCATTGATATCAGTAACAATAGACTTGGTCGCAAAGGGATAAAACAAGAAGCATTTAAAGTGAGTCCCATTGATTGATTTTTAAAAATTCTCCCAGTTGGCTAAATGATATATAATAACCAACAGATGAGCAAAAGCTAGAATTTATAGGATGAGAATAGCACTGGATTTGGGGTGCAACTGAAGGCCAAAAAAACAAACAAACAAAAAAACATGGATATTATGGTCTGCCCTAAACCTAAACCTTCTTTTATTCAGACTGAACAACCCAGTCCCTTCAGACTTCAAATCCCTCTATCATCTTTGTCACCCAACTTTGTTCTAACCTGGCAATATCCCTTGGTAATGGGGTTCAGAAACTCATATACAGTACTCCAGATGTGGTCTCACCAATGCCAAGGAGAGAGGAATAATGACTTCCCATATATTTGGTACAACACTTCTTCTAATGCAGCCCAGAGTACATACAGTAGCCCTTCTAGCAACTATCTTACACTGCTCAGTCATTATTATCTTGTTGTCAATAATCACACATAAGTCCTTCTCAGATATAGTGTTTTCAAATCATGAAATCCCTTTTTTTGTCTGTGTCCAATAGTTGTTTTTTTCTCTCTCTCTAAATATATTACCTTACATTCCTTTCGATGGAGTCTTGGGGTTCTCTGAGCTTGGTTGTTTTCTTGCAAACGTTTCATTACCTGGCTAGGTAATATCTCCAGTGCTAGATTGGAGTGGGGTTTGCTCTCTGTTTATATATCCTTTCGATGGAGTCTTGGGGTTCTCTGAGCTTGGTTGTTTTCTTGCAAACGTTTCATTACCTGGCTAGGTAATATCTCCAGTGCTAGATTGGAGTGGGGTTTGCTCTCTGTTTATATACAGTAGCTTGCCCTGCCAGTGTTAGTGGGGGTGTTCCCCCCCTTCCTTGGTAGTTCCTTGATTAGGGTATTGTTTACTGCTTGATTGTCCGGTGTTAATCTTGGTATTAATCTCTGATTATCTGGGAGTTGATTGCTCTCGAGGAGATGTTCTGGTCTTTTGTTTCCTTTTTATTGTCTCTTTTGAATAGAGTGTAGATGTTGTTTATCCCTATGTGCCTGTTGATGGCTGACTTGTCTAAATACCAAGCTTCCAGGAATTCCCTTGCATTGATGTTCTGGTCTTTTGTTTCCTTTTTATTGTCTCTTTTGAATAGAGTGTAGATGTTGTTTATCCCTATGTGCCTGTTGATGGCTGACTTGTCTAAATACCAAGCTTCCAGGAATTCCCTTGCATTTTTGGATTTAGCTTGGTCTAAGATGCTGACAGTTTCGTAGCTGAAATTGTGGTTAAGACTGTCCATGTGTTGTGAGATTAAGGAGTTTTCATCATGTCTTCTGACTG